ACAACAAAGCAAAACAAACAAAAACACAACAATAGTCTATCATCTTGGGGCAGGGGGAGTCCAGGACCCAAGGGATTCTCCACTAAGTTCTACATGAACTTCAGGGAAGATCTAATGCTAATAATCTTCACTCTTTAATGAAACTGAAAGGGAATTACTGCCAAACTCATTCTTGGAAGCTAGTATTACCTTGATGCCAAAGCCAGATAAGGATTCAACTAAAAAAGAAAACAGTTGCCCAGGAAACTGTTTCTTCCCAGGGATTTTTATAGAGTAAAACCATGTGGTGAAGCAGGTCTAAGGTAGTAGAGAACATGGGGACTCCCTTAGGAGGGCATGAGATGGGACAAAACTATGGTCAGTCACTAAAGTTACAAGCACCATTGCTCAGGTAAAATTTATTAAATCCAGGACCAAATGGGGAAGCAAGTCACATAGGGCATGAATATAGAGCACTGGTTTATCCAGTAGCCAGTAGCAGTTGGATTAGTGACTTCCTGGCTGCCTCAAGGTGATGATCCATCCCAGATGCTTATCTTCAGAGGTAAGCATTTGTTTGATCTTTAGTCTTTAGGTCTGGCCCACAGCAAGACTATCCGTCTCCCTCACATTTGCAAGGTATCTTGTCTTCCATGCTGTCTCCTTTGAGGGCCTACCCCTGTCTGACTGCCTATAATATTTCTATGTAATTCAACTGCTTACAACATTATGGGTCTCTTTCTCACTTTGGTAAAATCGGGTAAGGATTTATCCAACACCTGTTTTGTTTATTCTTTCAAAAAACCTGTTCTTCCATCATCCATTGATTCTTCGTATTGATTTTTTTCTCAATATCATAATTTCTCCTCTATTTTTATCTTTATACTAGCTTTGGGTTTGGATTATTCTTGTTTTTCTAGGACTTTGAGGTGTACCATTAGGTTATTTATGTAGGCTTGTTCTGTTTTTTTGGTGTCAGCATTTATAATTTACCTCTTACAACTGCTTTTATTGTATCATAAGTTCTCATATGTTCTACTGACACTATTATTTGATTCTAGGAACTAATTTCTTCTGTAACCCATTAATTATTCAAGTGTGTATTGCTTCATCTTCATGTGTTTGCATACTTCATCTGGTTTCTTTTGCCCTTCATAGATGTTAGATTTGTCATAGCCTTTTTTTGCATTTGATTTGATGACGACATGTAGATGATGATATGATGTGATTTTTGTCTTTGCATCTGTTTATGTGATATATTACACTAATTTGTGCATATTAAACTAGCCCTGTATCCATGAGATGGAATCAGTTTGATCATCAGGTAATGATGATTTGTTGCCTTGTTTGCCAATATCTTGTTAAGGATTTTTGTGTTTATGTTTATTAAAGAGATTGACCAACAATCTCTTTAGTAGAGAGGTGGTGGTGGTGGTGGTGGTTGTTTTTAATTGTTGCCTTTGACTGGGTTTTTTTTCCCCATAATTTTATTGAGAGACATATAGCAATGAGATAGTTTCAAATCAAATTGGTAGGACAGTTTCAATAATTAACACATTGCATAGTCTCGTCCTAGTGATTATTTGCTGTACAAGATGCAGACATGATATCCTATTTACAAACACGATTAGAACAAATCCCTCTATTCATTAAGAGAATATAACTATAAATCTATTAATTTTGGGTGGGGATGATTCAGGTAGAATTTTGATAGGGATTTCATTGGGGGAAGAAAAGAGGGGAGCAGAGAGAGAGAGAATGAGAGAATGAGAATGCCAGTTTTTTATGTTTTGCAAACAAGTCTAGAAAAGGACAAATTTTAAGTTTTTTGCTTTTTTTGTTGTTGTTGTTATGTGAACCATACCAGCATGTAATCAAATGATAGGTGAAGTATACCTCTATATATCTCTTCCAATTAATGAAAAAGTTTAGATTGCCACCATTTAGCAACACACCCATGAATGAATTGATTGAGCCACTGAATGTCAAAAGCTGCTAACATCCCCTAAGGAGGTAATCAGGTATTATGTGCTTCCTGATAAAAGAACATAACACCATATACAGTCTAGCAAGAGAATTGAATATGAGATTGATCAAGCTATTGTACTCACCTGCCAGTTTGCAGGAAATAATAGAAGCCTAACACCACATTGAATAATCCTGTATGTAGTGACTTTACTGAGAACCTCAGATTTTACTGAAAATCTTACAGAACCTTATAAATCACTGCTTCATTTTTTCATTAATTATAAGAAATTAAAGCAGATTAAAAGAAAATCTACAGATTGAAAGATATTTAAAACTTGTTTAAAAATATTCAAATTGTGTATATTTGTATACTTACATAATTTCAGCCTTCCTTATGGGATCAGAGAATTCAGAGAATTCCCTTTATTAGTTTCCAAGTTGCTGAGATTTATATGTAAAAACAGATTTCTTATATCATCTTAAATAGGGTAGCCAGATTGTGACTTTTTATGCATTTGTACCGTTTCACAGAATGTTATTGCTTAGAAAATACAGGAAGATGTATTGTAATTATATAAGTATACAAATATACACAATTTGAATATTTTTAAACAAGTTTTAAATATCTTTCAATCTGTAAATTTTCTTTTAATCTGTTTTAATTTCTTATAATTAATGAAATTACAATAATCCAAATTTTTATATGTATGTATTTTAGAACTAGATGCTTTTTTCTATGCAAAATTCTTCCAGTATTTATGTTTTACATTGATATTGTCTCCAAGACCAATTCCTAGGAGTGGAATTTTGCTGGATCAAGAAGTAAATCCATTTTCAGGGCTTTTGAAATTTATTGACAAACTGCCTACTAGAAAGAGATCTCTACCACAAATGTGGTGATTTTTGCCCATGTCTCTGAGTGCTAATAGTGTATTTTTTCTGATTAAGTTTTACATTTTTCTAAGTTTACTTACTAATGCATATGGTTTTTTAAAATAACCCTTAATGCTTGTTGACTGTTCTTCTAAAAGCAGCTATAATACCTAGTAGTCCTTTGTTGCTTTAAAACTTTTTCTGTTCCATACTTGTGCCTTTCCTTTATGGATGAGTTTATTTGGTGATGATTAGAAGGGGAGAATATTGTATTTTATCTATTTGGATTTTGTATTTATGCATAGATTATCCCAGCTTTATTGAGGAATATGTATAGTATTTTCTATTTCCTATAATCATAATTTAATACATAATTTTTACTTTCTTAAAGCTATATTAATCTTTTAAAAATAGTTTGAATAGAAATATATATATATATATGTCAGAAAGATAGATTATTTTGTAGGTTAGAAATGCTATTTTCTACTGAGCTGATTGAATTTAGAGATTGAAATTACTGTCTCTTCCCCACCCACCCCCATTTTGTACAAGTTACTAGAAGAAAACCAGCCTAATTTAGCTAAGTAAATTTGATTTTTCGTTCCATGTTATGCCTAAGATGTTTGATATTCAGACAGATAGTGAGGTTAAGCTTAACAGCCTACGTTGTATGGTAAAAACAATAAGCTTCTCTTCTGGAGGGTTAACAACCTAAGTTTGCAGACCAAAATTAGAGAAAAAGGAGGGTCTCAAGGAAAGCCAACATTTGGCCCTAGTCTTCCAAGGTCAATTAAGACTCAGGACATATGAGAACTTGTACTGTAATGTCACATAACTCAGTAGTGTACCAAATTTTCTGATCAAGGAGATTATGGAGCCAAAGAGGATAATGATGGATGATATAGAGTGTGCCTAAGGAGAGTCACATGGAGAGAAAACATTCTCTCAGGCTTTCACAGAGAGCACATCGGCCAAGCAATGGCCGTGACTCATCCACGTGGCTGACACTGATGAAGGATCTACAATCTGAAGTACAGGATCTCAGGATAAATCCTGAGGGGCTTTCACTGACCTTATCAGATCCAAAAGCTACAACTCTTGTTGCATAGGTCTTGCTTTATCTTGGTCTTAACCATCCAGCAGAAAAGTATAAAAACGAAGTATAAGAAGTAAAGCCATGGTGTTATGTTGAGCTGTAGGGGGCTCTTGTCAACAATTTCTGACACTGCCAGTTAAGTGGAAGACCCAGTACTATTACGGACTACTGGACTCTTTTAGACTATTTTGCTGAGTTAACACACCTATAATATTCAAATGACGGTACTAAACAAAAAAAGGGGATACAGATGAATGTCCATTTTGTATCTGTGTATTCAAAATGGTTAGAATAGATATATAGTTACATTCTCTTAATGAATAGAGGGATTTGTTCTAATAGTGTTTGTAAATACGATATCATGTCCACATCTTGTACAGCAATTAACCACTAGGAAGAATGTATGCAATGTGTTAATTACTGAAACTGACCTACCAGTTTGGTTTGAAACTGTTTCATTGCTATTTGTTTCTCAATAAAATTATGGGGAAAAAATATGATTTTTCATGCTGACTTTATTGAAACAACCATATTTTAGAGATATGTGGTTCAGGCCTGGCCAGATAGCTCAGCCGTCTAAAGCGCCTGCTTAGGTAGGCTCAGGGACCAGGGTTTGATCTTCTGCGTGCCCTGCCAGCCCCGTCCCCAGCAGGCACTGAGACAGCGACTGAGACTGAGTTATAGAAGTACATTTTTTTTTTAAATGTATTTAGTGCAGGATCTACAGGGTCTCACTACACAGATCTGACTCTTAGTGATCCTCCTATTTTTAGCCTCACGAAGCACTGGGATTACAAGCACGTACCACCACGCCCAGTCTCATACTTCCAGTAGATGGACAGATGAACATTCAGTCTTCTATTTCATCTACCTTTGCAGGGTTTTTTTCCCCCTCAAATGATTTTTATTAAATTATTGACATGATTTTAACATGGAATCCTATTTTTCTCAAATTGATCTGGTGAATCATAAAATATTTTTCATATTGTTTATACTATTTGACTAGTTGTACAAACTATGATTTGATCATTTATTTTGCTTTTTTAGGCCTTTCTCGTATTTAATAATTTTCTTTACTTTATAGAAATACCGGTATCAGGATGAAGATATACCTCCTCAAGAGCACATTTCTCCACAAATAACTAATGAGGTGATAGGACCAGAATTGGTTCATGTCTCAGAGAAGAATCTGTCAGAAATTGAGAATGTCCATGGATTTGTTTCACATTCTCATATTTCACCAATAAAGGTAGGATATTTATGTTATTACTATGAATTACATGTTTTTAGTGTAGCTCGTGCCTAAATACCTACTCATGCGCATAGATTCTCCTTTTGGTTGATTTGAGTTCTATAGTTGCCGGGTATTTCTTGGTATTTAAAAAAAAATTTTAAGCTGTATTTTATAAATGAATTTTATTCACTAATACTGTCTTTATGATAAAAGAAATAACTATTATACTTCAAATACTACACATCAAAGTAGTTCTAAACACTTCTTTTAAATATGTAGATATGTAAAAAGAATATTAACTTTAAAGCCCAGTATGTGACTTGATCCTGTCATTACTCCCCTCAAAAGGAACCACAATCCTGAATTTGGTATTTACCCTTTCTTGTAAAGTTCCACAACATATTTGTACTCTAATTAATATTCATCCTGCATATTTTAAACTTTTTACAGTGAACTCACTTTATACCTGCTCTTTTTGCTCAACAGTATATTTCTAGCTTTATTTCATTTCACTGCTCTAGAGTTTTCTGTTTTATAACTTTTGTGCAGTAATTTGTGTCACTTTTGATTGGTACTGAGTTAAGGTAAGTGCTAGTATAAAAAATTGCTAAGAACACTATATGGATCATGAGTTATGCCAGGTGACTTTTGATTAGCTGTGTAATTTCCATTTTCAAAAGCAATATGTGACAGGTTTTAATTTTCACTGACTTGATGTTCTGGTTTTGGTTTTGAAGTGGTATCTCATTGTGATTTTAACTGTATTTCCTGTTTACTAATGAGATAAGGTATATTTGTCATTAGAGTTTCCTGTGTTGTGGTATATGCCTATCTAGAAAGAGTTCTATATAGATTCTGAAAAATCAGTCCTTTGCTGGTTGTATATATTGTGCATAAAGATCATTTCTTACTAGTAAAACTTTCCCTGGGCTTACCTTTTTGAGGGATGATTACATAATACTTATTAAATTTTTAATGGTTGTGGTACCATTGAGATTTTCTATTCACAGATCATTTTACTACATTTATTTTTTCTAGAAATTTCATTTCATACATATTTTCAAATTATTTTTTATAATGCCCTTGTATTATCATTGCATATCTTCATAGCATATATTACCTATTTTCATTCCTAAGATTGTTTTTTTTTAAATCATTCTTCCCGAAAGACGGACAGTTTCAAAGATTTTTTTTTCATAGAAACATCTCCCCTTTTTTGGTACCAGGAATAGAACTCAGGATCTTGCACAGCTGGGCAGGTCCTTGTGCTGCTGAGCTATATCCCTGGCCCGAACCTTCTCTTTTTACAAAAATGTTTTCTCAGGTCCAGGGAGATGGCTCAGTGGAATAAGCGCTTCTCTGGCAAGCGCAAGGGCCTGAGTTCAATCCCAGGTGGTTCCACCAAAAAAAAAAAGGAAAGAAAGAAAGAAAAAGAAAATGTTTTCTCTCTTGTTCTCACCCTGTGTGCCACCATGCTTACCCACATATATACACATTTATGGGCCTATATAATACACAGATACTTATGTAAATAACTATACTTGTAGGATACCGTGCATATTATTTTAAGATTGTATTTGGTAGAAACAATCTCTGACCCTTGCTTAGGAAATTAAATGAGTGATATCCAGAGGAAAAAAATCAGTTGACTGTTAGTGGCACAGACACTTTTCCTTTTATATTTTTTACCCCATTTCTTCTCTTTACATTTTCCCTTCTTCTTTCATAAAATTTATTTATGTATTTTTGTATTTAGTACAGGGTCTCACTACATAGATCCGGCTTGTAGTGATTCTCCTGTTTTCAGCCTCCCAAGTGCTGGGATTGCAGGCCTGCACCAGCATGCCCAGTCTCAGTCGCTGTCTCAGCATGCACCAAGAACCCTGGCTGCTGCACTGTACTTAAGCAGGTGCTTTAGTGTGCTGAGCTATCTGGCCGGCCCTATAAAATGTATTATATTCTGTCTTCTCTAGTTTCTTACATCAGGTGTTGAGTGTATAATCAATCTTTTAAAAATAGTATTAAGAGTTTCTAAATTTTTCTTTAAACAGCATTTTATCCATATCACATATGTTTTAATATGTAACATTTTATCAATCTTAACATTTTCTTTTTGTTTTTTACTTTATGAGTTCTTTTGAAGTATACTTAATTTTAAATACATGAAATTATTCCTTTTTTATCTCTTTTCCTTTTTTTTATCTCTTTTCCTGATGTATCTCATTTTTCCTGGGAAGTTATTGTGTTACTCTTGCTTTAGTGATTATTCTAGAAATTTTAATATTCATATTTAACTTAACAGAAGCCTAAGGCCAATAAGTATCTTTTACCCCCATTCAGAACAATTTAAAAACTTTAGAGCATTTGAAGTCCAAGCACCTTTTGCTGTTTTATTATGCTATTATTAGCAATATATCCATTTTCCTTTGGTTGACTTAATCTATTTCTTTAGCCCAGAACCTCTCCCAAGATACGTGTAATTCTTTTTGTTTGTGATGTTTTAAAGTTCTGGTCATTCTGGTGGTTAGAAATTATCCAAAACCAATTTGGCCAGACATGGTCAAATCTTGGTCTTTTTGTAGGTATTTTAGTTGTTAATTTGGTATGTGTGCAGATTCTGACCTAAGCAGACCATTAAAACAGTGAGCCCCCATGCATAATTATTTGTTATAGCCTATTCCTTAAATCTGATGAAGCTTTGGTTCTCTTTTGTTACATAAAATGATCATCCTGGGTAGATAAAATATTCTAGAGACAAGATGTTGTCTCAGAATCTCCAGATAATTTAGGGATTAAACCTGAGGTACCACTTACAGATGTATGTCTCGTTGGAGTCTGGTCTTTTCCACAGTGCAAGACTAGAATTTGAGGACATATATCTCTTCATATAGAGAGCCTTTTCTGGTTCTCGTCTCGATTCAAGAAATTTATGTTTGTAATACCATGGATAAATTATTGGAATCCCTCAAGTTATTTCCACTCTGACACTTCCAGTGCAGCCCACAGGGAAAGTAAAGACGCTAAGGTGTGTTTGTAATTATGGGGAGCCAAGGGGTCCTTCGTTCAGCCATGATGATGGCTATCCAGAACAAAGGCCTTGACCCAGGGCTGAAACCGCATTTTATTCATTCATGAAGGAGGAGGGGCTTGAAAATGAGTGACTGAGAATAGTAGGAAGTGAGTACTGTGAGCTGGACTAGGTAGAAGACCTGCGTTTATCTCTGCAGTGTGCACAGAGAAGGATATGCAGAGAGTAATCTGCATTTCACAATTGAGATAGTATCTAATGTTTTGGGGTCAGTGCTTCAACTCTGATGTGTAATCTTTCAAGCCCCAAGAAGTCATAGCCTCTATCTGGAGGTTCGATTGGAGCATTGACTCTTTGTTTCATGTTGACCTGGCTCATACTAAAGAGCAGCAGGTGAGGGATACTGGGAAAACACACTTGCCGTCTTCAAAGACTACCACCAGCATCTCGGTTAGACCAGTATGCATTGCTGAAAGCCAATTGAAGGGATAAGGAAAAGTCCTAGCGGACTCTGTACATAATAGTACACAGAAATAGGGTCAGGCTCAGCCGAAATAGGCAGTTAGTTGCTCTTTCAAGGAGAGTTGCCCAGGTGGTCCTCCACGTCTTCGAAGTGTGTTCTTCCCCTAGAGCAAGGATAGAATGTGTCTGAATTAATTTATCCAGCTCCTGTAATTGAATACAATGAATTTCACCAGTGAAACTCCATTTTGCTATTTAATGAAGCCACTAATTTCATCAGTGAATATCCACTTCATTTTGATGATCAAAATCTTCAATGTTGATCATATATTAAAACAAATCTTTTTTTTTTTTTTTTTGGCAGAACCAGGGATTGAACTCAGGCCCTTGCACTTGCCAGGGAAACGCTTATTTCACTGAGCCATCTCCCTGGCCCCCTAAAACAAATCTTAATAGCAGCCATCTCTGATTATAACCTTTTCAGATGCTAGCAAATCAGTTCAGGGGTGTGAATTTCTAATTGGGACAGCATCCTCCCCTGAGAAATGGTTCTTGGCTATGGCTAAACATGAGTTCACCTAAGGAGTAGTTTAAAAATTACTGATTCTAGAAATTCTTACTTAATTGGTTTGGGGTAGGCTGGCTTTTGCGAGTTTTACCAGCTCACCATTCTAATTTACAAGCATTGTGACAAATGCTTGCACCACTGCTATTACCACTGTGTATTTTAGAATAAATTTTTGGCATCATTTTTGTATTTAGTCCCCTGCCTGAAATGACAAGTATTTTTAGCATTTCAAAGAGAAAACATATTATTCTCTTAGCTTCTCAATTGTTCCCTTAATCTGATTCATTTGTTCCCCAATGTCCTTGCCCTAAGAGAATGAAAAACTAACTTCACTGATTGTTTTGCTCTCTCCCTAAAATACTCTTTTTACTTATATACAAGAGCTTTTTTGATATATATTACATAAAGGATAAATGATAAAACATTGTCTTCCACAGCTTTTTAAACAGTTGATATTAAAATTAAATATTCTTTATTATCAATTATAAACTTTTATACTTTTTTCACATTTTACGTTTTTTGAAGTTGGTTTACAATAGATTTTTATAATTGCTGGCATTTTATCACCACCTTAGTTGAGGAGCAGTTTTTGTATTGTGGTATATAAACCTTTGTAGACACATTCTGGTAGATCAAGTAGCATCTTAGTATGTTGTGGTCATAAATAACTGTTGTAATTGAGAAGCAGCTGAAAACCTGGACATTTTTGTAGGTCATTTTCTTCTATCTTTTTCGGTTTGTTTTGTTTTGTTAGGTATTAACATCATTCAATGTAACAGTTAACTTTTTTAAAAAGTCTCTGGTGCTATTAAAGACAGCAAATTATCCCTCCCCACTTTGGCTTTTTGGGAACTGAATAGACAAGGATGCTCATTCCTAATAAAAGAAATATCTCAGCTCTCTTATCTTTTTCTAAATCACGCTTTCTTTTTAAAACTATGCAAAGTTCTCCCCTGT